AGCATGGTAAATGGTGACCTCTACTGGCAGTCAACTTTACATCTGAAAAAAGTAGTGCATTTTATGCATTTAATCATAACTGTGCAAGCAAACACAGGAACTAATATCAGCAAGGAGCAATCTGTTTTAACCAGATGCTGCAAGTACAATAATCCTCTTAAACACACACACACACACACACACACAGAGAGAGAGAGAGAGAGAGAGAGAGCGCAAGATCACCGAAATACTACCATTATAAGACACTATTTATATGTATACGTGTGTAATCCGTCACTGCAGGGAATATCAAAGCCACATAACACAACAATGGTGATGTTGCCAAATTCATTACATGAATTTGCTCAGTTCAAAGGACTGGCCATATAGCAAATCGAGCACTATATCCTGGACAAGGTCTTCTCTGGCTTGGAATGTTAGACAAGTACCTGCTGAGACACAGATGGCATTCAACTGACCAGAAGCCCAGAGCCAGTGGCTTCATGGGCGCATAAACAGAATGGCCTTAACTTCTTATTCAATAAAACTCCTATTGATTGCCTTGAAAATATATCTCCTGAATAGAATTTATATAACCGAAAGGGTTGGGAGATCAAGCACGGAGATCATGTGTGCTCATTTGGGCCCAGTTCCCATCAGTGTCGGCTCAACTCCATCCTCATGATGCTTGGGAAGATCTGAAAGGAGATTCTTTGCACATTCAGTTGAACTGGCTCACAGAACTCACTGCAACAGAGAATCATGTGCAATCAGGATACTTGATCATTGAGAGAATTCATCCGGTCCAACCCCCTGCAATGCAGGAATCACAGCTAACAGATGGCCAACCAACCACAATTTTTAAATCTTCAATGAAGGAGAGTCCATCCCCTTTTAAGGTAGTCCATTCCAGTGTCAAGCAGCCTCATACCATCAGAAAGTTTATCCTGATCTTTAGTCAGAATATCCTTTCTTGCAATTTGAATCCATTGCTACCCTCTGGAGCAAGCTTCTTCCATCTTCCACGTAAAAACCTTTCATATATTTAAAGATGGCTATCTTAAAATATCAGTTCCAAGTGTGTTTAGCTGAACACGTGGAAGATCCCCCTTGAGCCCTTCTGATTCAATATGGGGAGAACAAGGTAGCTTTTGTTGCTGCTTTTGTAGTTGTGGGAACAGACCTCATTGTTGCTGATTGCTTTCTGTTCATGCAACTCTCATGGATTGCTACAGTAACCTCTTCTGACCAGACCACCCAACCATTTGTTTGGTAAGTATCGTTTCTAAGTGGCTCAATCAGTGCTCTTGATTGTTCCTTGCAAATCTTTTATGTGGGTGCAGTCCACTATCCAGATCTAAAGGAGTCTCTTATTGCAAGTGTGTTTATTTGTGGAAAGGGGGCAGTTGATTTTTTTTTCTCGGTCAAGACAGTTGCCATGGGATTTGGGTGATGGGAAAGAAGTATCATTCCTAGGGGAGCAATGTGAAAATGAGTAGGCAGCATTTGCAAAGCTGCCTTTTCCAAATGAGCCAGGAGAGACCACTTTTTAAAAAAGGATAATTCCCCCCAACCCAAAAGAAGCATTTGCCAGAAAGTTTGTGAATTCATTCAGTAAGAGGAGTTTGCCGATTCCTGACAGTAGTCTATTTTGCAGGTTTGTTGTAAAGCTTTATAAATATGTACTGTTAGCTGCTTTGCTCATTTAACAACTGCCGTAGAAATGAAAATCAGTAAACAATTTATAATTAATAGCAAGGCAAACAGGAAAAAATGCAGCAACATACAAACTTTCAATCATATTTTAAAAAAATTATATTGGAACATGATTTTATAGCATAGCCCAGAATACTTCAACAGTAACAACAGCAGCAGCAAATAGCTGGTCCAACATTTAACCTTTGCATATTTGTAAAACACACTTTATGAAATGAAACTCTATGTCAGACTCCAATTAATTCATAATGTTGTTTTTAAAGAGATGGTCACGAATCCTATTTCATGCAGTATTCGTATGTGTGTGGCTATGCAGATATAGATGAAATAAATGCAGATATAATTATAGTTAAGGATTACACTTATACAGGGATATTTGACAAATTTAATAGTGTTAATTATTTGGGGATTTAAGAGACTTCTGCTAATTTATTCATGCACCTCCAATTCATAAACTGGTAGTGTGTGTGTGTGTGTATATGTGTGTGTGTAGTGGTTTATATCATAGAATCATATGACGAAGGTCATCTGGTTCAACCCCTTGCAATGCAGGAATATTTCACCCAATTTGGGCTAAAACCCACATAGTCTCATGCTCTACTGACTGAGCCATAACAACTTCAGCATGTATGTTAAATGAGAGGTTTCACCAAATAGGGTCATTTTTTTAGAGAATACCTTGGAGGTGCAGCGTTTTGTTTCTCTAATAAGAATTGCAAGAACAAGCTATTCTGGATGCTTATTAGTAACCCACAATTAGCGCAGAACTTCCCTAATGATGTTCTGTTCATTTTTAGAGTAAGAACCTTTCAGACAAAGGTCCTCTCTCATGAGAGTAATGCTCCTTTCACTTAACACTTCCAACGCAAGCCAAATAAAGTCATAACCAAGTTCCCATACATATGGGGACGTGGGGGGTAAGGCCACTGTTTGTTTATCTGCATTTTAAAGAATTTATAAAACCACATGACTTAAGAATCCCTAAGCAGGGTACATAGAATGATGTAAAATAATTATCAATGTACAAACAAATATGGGAAAGATTTAAAAACAGATTAATGTTAACTTTTTCACAGGATAGGCTGGTTGAAATAAATAAATAAAAATAGTGGGTGTCTAAAACAGCAAAACAAGGGTGCCGGCTTAAGGTTAATAGGCAGCAGCTGGTGCCGCCATGAAAACTCAACTCTTTGCAGATGTGGAACAAACGTTGTATGAAAAATGCAAGAGCACAAGTTCCACAGATTGAAGCAGTCCAGATGGTTCAGTGGCCAATGAGCAGCCCCCATAGGTAAAGCACAGCTTGTGAATGAGTCCATGCTGCACCCCAGTGTCCCTGCCCCAGATGCCTACACATAAAGTGGAACATCCAAATAGGGGCTCATACATATGTTTAAAATGCTAGCTTTTTAATGTCTGGATGAATGAAAAGGTCTTCATCAGGTTTTGAGAAAGCCATAAAGATAGTATCAGGTGAGCCTTCCTGGGAAGGAGACTAATCCACAACCAGTGTGCCATCACTGAGAAGATCATTATCAAGAGATGGGAATAAGGTTATGGGGAGACAGACTGAGATGGATTGCTGCTTCAAAGGTATGGGCCAAGTAACCACACTATTGCCTGAATTTTATGTGTCAGCTTTGATGCAGGGAAATCACTAAACTGGAGTGAACTGCCGAAGATGCACCACTTTACCTTGGCATTTAACTCCTGAGATGTACTATTGTTCGTACCCGCTTTACTTCTAGGATTGTAAGTTGCTTTAAACTATTTTTAACATTGACTTTTTATTGTTTGCAACCAACCCTGAGACCTTAGGGTGAAAGATGCGTAGAAAACAACAACAACGTCAATGAGATAAAGAACTATACAACTTTTAGAAGACATCTGAAGGCAGCCCTGTATTGGGAAGTTTTTAATGTTTGATGTTTTATGTTTTATATATTCTGTAAGCTGCCCAGAGTGGCTGGGGAAACCATCCATATGATGATGATGTGATCCAGAGCAGGTTTGGGGATGGCATGGAGAGCAGAGAAGAGGGTTTCCCATTGCATGAGTAGAACCCTGGTACTGTGACGTTCAATGTCACTTTAAGCATTATTATTTTCAATAAAGAAGTGTAAGAAAATTATGGAGATGGGAGGAAAAAAGACCTTTGGAAATGCTGTTAGTTCCAGGATTGCATTTCTCCTCATCCACAGATCATTAACTTCCACTATGAATACAATTATATGAAATGAATAACTATGGAAAAAATGTCCTCTTCCCTTTACTTTTGCCTCATTATATTTTCCCATTTTAAAAGAAAGTAAGCAAGAAAGAAAATGATTCATTACAAAGAGAGACAGTCTTCGAAATACTAATTTAATCCTGCTTTATTTGGGTCAGATAGGATCATTTTCCACATCATGATTTATTTATTTTTTTAAAAAAAAACCAAGTCAGAATAATATATATACAGCAAACGAGTGCTAAAGTTCAAATGCATTAAGACTGACTGAAAGGGGAATTTATTGTTTCACCTGTATAAAACATTGTGAAAAACTCCTTACCAAAAAGAAGCCATATATCCTGTACACTAAAGAAAACCTAAGTATTCTAACAGATACATCATGTTTCATTATGTAGGTCTGATACTGAAATAATTAAATTCAGTTGAATGTGTGGAAAACTGGAACAAGTTATGGTTTGGCACATCATAGACATTATACTTGGGGTTTTACATGGGGGTATGTGTTATGAATTTTACCTCAAAGGCTACATCTTATGACTAGATTTCTTGCATTTCCATTTTGCTCATTGTTTTGCTCTTCTGTGAGAACGCAGTTCTAAACTCCCTCCAAACCATGTGTAAGCAGCAGTTTAGAAGGGCCAAGCTGATTTCCTAACTTCCTAATTCGTAGCCAAAAATGCTTTTTGGAAATCAATCTAAAGTATTGTTGAAAATGTATATATAAGTCTACAGTGTGAGAGCCAGTTTGGTGTAATGCACTGTACTAGGAGCAGGAAGTGAAACCTGGATTCAGCTCCCTAGTCCGCTATGAAGTGCAGAGAGTGCCTTTGGGCCAGTCACGATCTGTCACTCAACCTAATATACCAGTACCTCCCAGTGTTGTTGTGATGGTGGAGATGGAGCCACTAGGTGACACTAGTCCCCTCACAGAACTACAATTCCCAGAGTTCCTTGGGAAGAGGGATTGACTGTAATTCTGTGAGGGGAATTAGGGATTCCTAACAATGCTCAGCACTCATAGCAAACTACAAATCCCAGGAATCTTTGGGAAAAGCCATGATTATTTTTTTTTAAAGTGGTATGATACTGCTTGAATTGTAGAGCGCAGCTGGGGCCAAAGATTCCGGTGTCCTTTTCCTGGAAAAAGAAGCCCATTATAATATTCTAGCAAGAACTTTAGTGGAGGGGTGCAGAATAGATTTGAATCCATTTCTGACCTACTTTCTGTTTCTTGCTGTCACATTTCTGCCTAGTGTCTCACCATCTCTTGAGAGCCTGGAAAAGGTGCCTACATCAAATGCTAATTGGCTTAATTAACTACAAGTCATAGCTCTAACAAAAGCACTCCCTATCTCGTCAGCTTGACCATTAAAAAGTGATTTGCATTTGCATTAGGAGCAGTGGGTACTTAGCTTGTGAAAAGGACTAATGAACCATGTATTTTGTGCTCACAAATCAGGTACTGGTGTGTACAACATAACAGCTCATCAGCAAACAGAAAACCCCAAACTTACTCTGTTTCCAAGGGGAGCTTTTATTAGCCACTAATTTCTCGTTAAGCCTAGCCTGATTTCTGACACAAATACAATAATTAAGAAATATGAAAAGATTTATTTGAGCACAGAACACTGTGCCATTTAAACCACCAGAACTGCAGTAATTCTGAGTGCTAATGCATAATTTACTATGTAGCAGTATCTCAAGACAACTTTGGGAAGAATAGATATTTTATTTATTCAATTAACAAAATAACCCAAAACATTTTAGTTTAACATTTTCTGTTAAGGGTCTTCCACGTTCACTCAAACTACAAAATGCTGGGAAATTAGAGCCATTAAGAGCCGCACCCTTAATAGATGGATTATTTAGGTCATATATTCATATGGTATGGGATTCTATCTTTTAGTTAATTCCAGCTTTATCACTACCATGGAGCTGGATGGCTGTTGGTGGCAGGGTCCCACGTATGTTTGTTCACTGGAAGAGACACATGGAGTCTATATAACCAAAACTTTGGTGTAACAGAAGCTGCAATTTTGTATTACCCAGATGACAACCAATGCCATCCATAGTGAATGACAGAGCTGGAAGAGAACTTGATGATCATCTAGTCCCATGGTTCCCAACATGGGGCACATGCCCCACAGGGGGGCAATTTGAATTTTAAGGGAGGCATTAATAACTTGAGAATGAGTTATTAACAGTGAATTGCCTTTTAGGCTTCCTCCACATGAATAGGAGCTCACTTTTTGAATTATAAGAATTAAATGTCAAGGAGGGGGCATCAGGATTTTAGAGATGCTTAGGTGGGGCATAGCAAAAAAAAAAAAAAAAAGGTTGGGAACCACTGATCTAGTCCAGTGCCCTACTGCAGGTTTGGTGTCATGCAGAACCTACTGGATCCTTATCAGCACTGGATTTAGGGTGGTGTGGGTGGTCTCCCCCCCACAGGGTGCTGAGCTGAGGGGTGAAAAATTATTATTACTACTATTGCATCAATATCTATATTTAGTTTCATTAGCCTAGCAGTATATAGCTGTTGACCTTGCCAACAAAGGTCCGTATAGTTAAAGCCATGGTTTTCCCAGTAGTGATGTATGGAAGTGAGAGCTGGACCATAAAGAAGGCTGATCGCTGAAGAATTGATGCTTTTGAATTATGGTGCTGGAGGAGACTCTTGAGAGTCCCATGGACTGCAAGAAGATCAAACGCATCCATTCTTAAGGAAATCAGCCCTGAGTGCTCACTGGAAGGGCAGATCATGAAGCTGAGGCTCCAATAATTTGGCCACCTCATGAGAAGAGAAGACTCCCTGGAAAAGACCCTGATGTTGGGAAAGATTGAGGGCACAAGGAGAAGGGGACGACAGAGGACGAGATGGTTGAACAGTGTTCTTGAAGCTACGAACATGAGTTTGACCAAACTGCAGGAGGCAGTGGAAGACAGGAGTGCCTGGCGTGTTCTGGTCCATGGGGTCATGAAGAGTCGGACATGACTAAACGACTAAACAACAACAATATAGCTGTTTTTTGAAGATGTCTTTTAATAGCCTCTCTCCTCCTGACTAGTTGCTAATAATTTTTGCACAGCAGCGGGGACAGTAGATTTCATTCTGCTCCTCACAGTGGGTAGAGAAGTTATTTAGCTTTTAATTCAACCTGGGCCACAGCTACTGGTTCCCTGTCCTGTGATAATGGAACACCTCCACATGCTGAGAAGCTTTTAAATTTTTTAAGTGGGACAGCAGTAGCAGCAAGACAATGACTTCTCCCATAACCGTAGTGCTCACAGGTGATTACATTCCAATATAGAGGATCTAAACTGGCAGAACAATCCTGAGCTTACTTTGCAAAATGGTTAGTTCAGTATTGCTCATGCAATCAGATGTAGGACCCTCTACACACAAGGCATTACACAGAATAATTGAAGCTTTCTGGAGCCTAATGGTGTTGTAATCACTCTGCAGTGACAAAACTCTACACGGGACATAGGATTTATGAACCAATCACAGAACCATTGTGAACCAATAAGCTGCACCAGGAGCAAATGGCAGATTATTTAAAGGCCACAACATTAGGGAAGTTATTTAAACTGGAGGCAAGTCAAAAGGATGTCATGGATCACAGAAATCTAGTTGAAATAAACCCCAAAGGCAAAAATAAGTCCAGTTTAAAAGTTCATAATTCACAGAACCCTTTTCCAATGGGATTTTAACATCCAGTCCTCTTCCAGTAAGATTTTAAAGTCTCCATCCTCCAGCACAGCTCCAACAGACAGACAATTAAGTCTTAGGTAATCTTACAGACTGTGACTTGGTGTCTGGATGTGAGGAAATCAGATTGTAGGGGTGAAAGCAAACTCCCCCAATAGGGTTATTGTACCAGTTGGCTCAAAGGCATTGCAGAATTTTGTGATGCGAACCAGTTGCCTTAAGGGCAATGCAGATTTAACTGTTTACACAAGTTTGAGGTGTGAGCTGGAGATACGAGCCAGTATGTCAAACAGGTTAATTGGATGTTGCCAATTTTATTCTAATGTGCAAAGTTATGAACCCAAGGGACCCAAATAAGTTTGCATTACAGAGGGCAATAGCTACTAATCGTGATAGCTATAGGATAAGAGGCACCATGCCAGTTTTGAGGAACCATTGCGAAAGGGCTTTCCCCTCACACCCTGTGTGTGGGCTTCCCTCAAGACATCTGGTTGGGCACTGTACAAAACAGGATAGGACTTCTATGTGATCCAGTAGGTCTCTTCTTAGGCCAGATTGGATGTCCTTTCTTCACCATGGCTGTGTTTGTGCAGTTGGACAAGAGGCCAGAGTCCAAACAGATGGTTTTTAGTGACCACCAGGGCCACTATTGTGGGGAGCTATGGGAGCCTACTATGGCTGTGTCTGACAATTCCGTGTTCTGACTACCAATGATATAATCTCAGAAGAAAAGCCCGCAACTTTGATCAGTGTATACCTCAGCGCAGTATTCCTCTCATCTGAAAACACTTTTGCTCTAGTAGAAATAGAATATAATATCTATGCTGCTAAAAATAACCAGCAATTAAACGCACAGTGTATAGAATGTCAGAAGAAAACTCTATATAAGGAAGAGTTGTAGCGAACAAGTAATGTAAACCTCTGGTACCTCTGGAGAGGGAATGAGGTTTTTTCCATTAGAGAAGAACAGCGTACAAAACACAGTGCATATGTAAGATTTCTAACAAGCAGATTCATTAAATAACTGGTAGTGATTATCATTTCTATTCTCCCTCCAACAATCGGTTGGTGTGGTCAGTGCTGGCATTTCCCTCCCAGTCACTGTCGCCTGGTTTCCATTAATTAATTATATCAGCCATACTATTGTTTTCTGTGCTTGTTAAACCGAGTGCTGTTGTTGTGTTTCCAAAACATCCTTCAGTACATCAAATCCATTATGGTTTTGGCTATTGTTCATGTATGTGGGAATATTTATGCATCATTGGCAACTATTTTCTGCATTTACGTCACACTCTCTTCATAACATAAGCCTATGCCTTACAGCACCAACTCTGACGGCTTTAAAAGAGGTTCGGACATAACGTATTCATGAGGAAAAGACTATCAGGGACTATGAGCCGTGGTGGTTCTGCTCTGCCTCCATGGTTTGAGGCAGCAACGTTTCTGAATAAGTCAAGAGAAAAAGACCACTGGACAGTTAAGTCCAGTCAAAGGCTACTATGGGGTGTGGCACTCATCTCGCTTCTGGCCAAGGGAGCTGGCATTTGTCCACAGACAGCTTTCCAGGTCATGTGGCCAGCATGACTAAACCGCTTCTGGTGGCCACAGCAGTACCTGTTTATCTACTTGCACTGCTGTGCTTTCGAATGACTAGGTTGGTAGAAGCTGGGACAGAGCAACGGGAGTTCACCCCGTCGCGTGGATTTGAACCACTGACCTTCTGATTGGCAAGCCCAAGAGGCTCAGTGGTTTACACCACAGCACCACCTGCTTCTGAATACCAATTGCTAGAAGGGACAAGGGGAGAGTCCTGTTGTGTTCAGGTCCCACTTGTTGGTGTTCTACAGGCACCTGGTTGGCCACTGTGAGAACAGGATGCTGGACCAGATGTGCCGTTGGCCTGATCCAGGAGGCTCTTCTTGTGCTCTTAACATCACCCAGTGCATGTTTTCTTAGGAGTAAGTCCCATTAACTTTGATCGGACCTACTCCCTGGTTAAGTGTGTATGGGACTGCAGCCTTAGTTCTGAAAGCAGCAGTATGCAGGTATGTGTATACCGTACACCTGATTTGGGGTATATGCTGGCAGCTTCACTATATGCTTTTAGGAAAACAAAACCAAATAAGCACGATTCAAATGTCAAACATTCTGCTGGGCTTGTGGGACACTTGTAATGGTGTGGCTTTTAACAATGAGCTCAATTTGCTCAGATTCAAGAGCTCTGCTGCAATGGGAAAGAAGTTTGCGGAGAGAGTTGATTAACTGGTGTATCCCGTTGCGTAAGCAGACAAAGCCACTGTATGGAAATGACTGCAGACTCTGATCAGTCATGAGAACCATGTGCATCAAGACACACAGCTCTAAAATAAAATTATTATTATTATTATTAAGAAAAAGACATTTGGTTTTTGGAATGCTTTCCTAATGCTTCTCATCAATTAAAATGATGCTCAGTATCTGCCAAATTAGATTGGTCTGGGGAGTTGTAACGGAATGATGGAGAGGCAGCAGAAGTCTGGAGAATGACGATGGGCTGAGCTTGGAAGAGATGTCCTAGGGCTCTCGTAGGCATGCAGCACCCACATGTGAAACAAGCTGGCAAGGTCACTTGGGGATATAGAGAGATGAGGAACTATATTCAGTACTGGATAATTCTGAGCATCAGGACACAGTTTTGTGTGGGTTTGTCCTTTAAAAAAACAAAAAACAAAACACCAGACAGTGCTCTGCCTAAGTCATTTCTTTTAAACTCTGGGACTTTGTGGTTAACCACTGAAGCTCACATTTGGAGTACTGTTTTGTTTGTTATAATCAGCGCAAAGCAGAGATGATACAAAGCATTCGCAATGGTGCTAAGTCACTAGCATATAGGCTCCTTTCTTTATATGACGGCAGATCCTCCTATCAAACTGTAAACTGGAATCATAAGCTGCACCACACATCCGCATGGATCTATTATCAAGAGACCTCCAGAGCACTGTTTACTAAAGACAGGAAAGGGCTACGCAAATTAAACATGAAGAATAATAGCTAACCTTTTCGATGTAGCTGGGAAGCTATCATGAGGAAATCATTATGATTTATTGCCCATAAGATCTTCTGAAGTACATTACTAAACATTGTGAAGTATCATACCAGAATACTGATGCAGTGAAGACACAAACTTTCCCCATAGTTTCCCCTAAACAGACAGATATATTTCTGGGCTTTGTACAATGTACTTTGTCATAGCCCGCTAATCTTCCTGTGCTGACTTAGGCCACATTAACACCACACATTTTAAGCACTATGATACCATTTTAAACAGTCACTGCTTTCCCCTCAAGGTTTCTGAGAGCTGTAATTTGTTAAGTGTGCTGAGAGTTGCTAGGAAGCCACTATTCCCCTCACAGAGCTACAGTTCCCAGAGTTCTCTATTGCCCAGCACCCATAAACTACAGCTCCCAGAATTTTATGTTTTGTTGTATTTTTGCATTTCATTTTTATTTGTGTGGTTTGCTTTGTCTGCAGAAGGTCTCTGGCATCTAATGATAGGGTTGTAAGATTGATCCCTGGAGAGCTGCTGCTAGACAGTGAAATTGAGAAAGATCAATGGTCTAAGTCTGTTTAAGGAAGCTTCCATGTTCCTAAGCTTGAGCATCTTTATTTACAGACATCACCATTTTACTGAAAGGAGACCAAAGTACATAGGAATTACCGGTAATTAAAGCAGTATTAAATAACTCAAGGACCGCCTCTTTCTGTATGGACCTACCCAAGCCCTGAGATAATCTTCTGAGGCCCTCCTTCATGTGCCTCCTCCTTGAGAGGTCAGGAGGGTGGCAACACGAGAAGGGCCTTCTCTGCAGTGGCTCCCCGTCTGTGGAATGCTCTCCCCAGGGAAGTTCGCTAGGCACCTTCATTATACAGTGGTACCTCTAGTTACGAACTTAATTCGTTCTGGAGATCCTTTCTTAACCTGCAACTGTTCTTAACTAGAGGCATGCTTTCGCTAATGGGGCCTCTTGCTGTCGCTGCTCTGTTGGCACACGATTTCCGTTCTCATCCTGGGGCAAAGTTCTCAATTCGAGGTAACTCTTCCAGGTTAGTGGAGTTTGTAACCTGAAGCGTTTGTAACCTGAGGTGTTTGTTACTCGAGGTACCACTGTATACCTTTAGGCACCCACTCACCTCACAGTGTTTGTTGTGGGAAAGGAGGGAAAGAAGAATGTTAGCCGCTTTGAGACTCCTTAAAGGGAGTGAAAGGTGGGATATCAAATCCAAACTCTTTTTTGCAGGTGGCGCTGTGGGTTAAACCACAGAGCCTAGGACTTGCCGATCAGAAGGTTGGCGTTCAAATACCAGTGACGGGGTGAGCTCCTGTTGCTTGGTCCCTGCTCCTGCCCACCTAGCAGTTCGAAAGCACGTCAAAGTGTAAGTAGATAAATAGGTACCGCTCTGGCGGGAAGGTAAACAGCGTTTCCGTGCGCTGCTCTGCTTCGCCAGAAGTGGCTTAGTCATGCTGGCCACATGACCTGGAAGCTGTACGCCGGCTCCCTCGGCCAATAAAGCAAGATGAGCACCGCAACCCCAGAGTCGGTCACGACCAGACCTAATGGTCAGGGGTCCCTTTACCTTAACCTTTACCTTTGGATGACATCCTACACCCTTTTAAAATGTGGCTCTTTTTTGAGGGGTGTTATTGGGTTATTGAGTTATTGTTCTTTATTTGATTTTATATATTGTGATGTTTTCAGTGAACCGCCCTGAGACCTCTGGGTATAGGGTGGTATATAAATTCAACCAATCAATCAATACTTAGAAAGGGTAATATGCATTTGCCTATATAGATATCAAAGTCCCTTGACTACCGCAGAACTTAAAACAGATATTATACATAAGGTATATTTATAATTGTATAGCTGGTACAAATTGAGTTTGTGTGTGTGATTCCATTTGAATTTTTAAACGACTGGTTTGCTGTTGCTTTCAAAAACTGTGTGTTCATACACATGTATTTGTATACTTATAATAAAATTTATAATAAAACTAAACAAAGGTTCAAAAGACAATTTACACTGGAGCTCTTTTGATGCAACCTGAACTGCCTTCTTTGACTTGAATAGGGCTGATGGCTCTTCTAGGACTCCTTTCCTAAAAGATGGGTACCTATGTCCCAGAATTAGGTTGGCATAGAAATGGAACAGCTGCCGAGCACGAACAATGCTTCTATGCACAGGCAGTTTCTTTGATTTTTTAATATGCATCTCTTTTAAGTTGGCATAGCGCAAGGATTCTTCAGCCAGACTGAACAGGAACAGCCCTCAGTGCTCTCATGCCCCAAGCTAAGTTTTGCCAAATACCAAAATGGTCACTGTGAAGGATCAGCATTGGGCAAAAGATATATTAGACAAAGAGGATATCTTTGAGCACATGCTGAAGGTAATTTATTATTGCATACAAAAATACATCAGCATACCAAAGGAAACCATTTTCTTTATTTTGACAACCTGAAATATTATTTTAATTGTTCAAGCACTTTCCTGAAGACCTGCCTCTAGTTCGTAACTTTCCACTCCCACTGGAAACAATTTTCAATGAAACAATCTTTCAGAAATATTTTCCATGGCACTCTCTTCTGAGCAATACCATCCAAAATGGAATTTAAAAATCAATCAAAATTTATGGTTCATATTCTACATTTATGAGTGCTGGGCTGAATTGTTGAACAGTGCAT